TTCATAACTTACTTAAACTTTTATATCTCTAGACCTTAACCCATTTTTTTGAACTGTCATAACGTGTACCATTTACTCTTCTTGACCTATATAATGTACTTGTCTGTCTGTCATAACCTTCGGAAACTCCAATCTTTGGTTAGTGTGAAGCCTGTCAGCAAGGCAAACTGTACGTATGAATCAGACTGACCAGGCAGCTGGCTGTTTGCTTTTAAAGCTACAGTTAGTCATCAATTGCCTCGGAGATCTGAGAAGGATAAATTTGAGTAGGAAGTATAATTTAATTGTTATATCAATTAAAATGACATCAACTTACTGAGACAGTCATTTGAGGCTTACGTGGTTCTTTGCAGAAGCAGTAGTCAGTCTTTAGTTTTCCCAAGAGCTGCATGCCTTAGGCTGGTCAGCCTCAGGTGTGAATTTTTCCTTAGAGGAAGAATTTGGGAAAACTGACCTTACTTTGACGAGGTAAAGTACAGCAGTTAATCTAAAATGTCCACAGTTTGTGCAGGTTCCTGGCGGCAGGTGAGGCATGGGGCAGTTTTTCCCAGTGGCTAGCGTTACCACAGTCCAGGGGGAGTTGTCTGAACAGGGTTCCATCTGTCTTTTTTGGAGATCTTAAAGTTCCTTATTAGGAGGGGGCTCTGCTTATTTTGGGAAGTTTTTGTTTTTGGTTTGGTTTGGTTTTTGAGACAATGTTTCTCTGTGTATAGCCCCGGCTGCCCTGAAACTTGCTCTGTAGACCAGGATGGCCTCAAATTAGAGATCTATCTGCCTGTGTCTCCCAAGTGCTGGCATTAAAGGCATGCACCACCACCCAGCTGTGGGTTTTTATTGAACATCTTAAATGCCATATTTATCAGATCTATGAGGATTTTGAGAACCATTATCGATTAAGTATAATCTAAAGTAGACAAATTTTGCTTGTTTTTAGTTGCTTGTTTTAAAAGGCTTAATTTTGAAAAAAAAAATATATATATATATACATATACATATATATATATGGCCAAATAAAGCTCTTTTATATAATTAACTATGACTATAAGTATAGTTATGAACATATTAAAGAATATAATTATTTACGAGGTAACTGATTACTAATTTTTGTGTTTTAATTATCTTTAACAATTTATAATAAGTTAATGCAGATTTTTTTTTTTGAGACAGGGTTTCTCTGTGTAGCTTTGC